ATAATAATTGATATTTATTATTAAATAAAATTAAAAGTTATATATAAATTAATAATTTTAGATATTATAATTATGTATTTAAGAAAAAATTACAAGCACCAATCAAATTGAATACAAGTTTGATGGTCTTAACAAATAAATTGGTATCAAATGGACATAAAAATTTTAAAGCCATATATTATTGTTTATAAAAATACTTATTTCATTTTTTTATTGTTAAAAATAATTAATAATTGATAAAATAATTAATATTTATTATTTAATTAATTAAAATTAACTTAGATATTGATATTTTTTATATCATAAAAAATTATTTTTAAAAAAATTACTCCCTATGTTCAATTTAAATAGATTTAGTTTTTTATTCAAAGTATTCAAATTTTGTTATTTATTATTTCTTAAAGATATCATTTAATACTTTTATTCTTATTTTATCTTTTTTTTAGAAAAAATTAATTACACTATATATAAAATAAAAAAATTATAATTTAAGTGATATTTAGTTAAAAATAAATATAAAATTTTATTAATTAATTATCATATTTTATTTTATTAAAAGAATTAAATCTAAAAAAAATTTAAAAGTGGAGTATAAATTAATAAAACATTAATTAAATTAAAAATAATGTGTTGCCTTAATATTTACATGTTTAGCATAACCGCACCCTATGTTTCCAACTTTCCATGCGTGTATTGTATCTATGTGTGTAGGGGGAGAATAGAAATAAAGAAGTGAAAAAAGTAGAGGGATTGTGGAACTGGCATGAATAAGACCCTTCAGTTAATTCAGCCACATAATGAAATGTTGATGTGTGATGGAGTATAAATTAACAAGGACACACTATCTATGTGTGCATGATTAGAGAGAGTTATGATTGTTGTACTTACTGAGACTGCAAAACGCGGCTCAGAAAATTTTTTCATATTTTCATTTAATTTTTTTAGACTGCATTTTGTTTTTTTTTTTTTTTTTTTTTATTTGAGTTTGATAGTGAGTGGAGACTTGGAGTGAGTGAGAGAGAGTGATGTGGACACATCGAATCGATGGCTCTCTGCTCCAGTCCAGTGGCTCACTCAAGACTTCCTCTTTGGAGGCATGTCTTTGGCTTATTTTTTCTTTTTCTTTTTTTTTTTTTCGTTTCTTTTTATTTCTCCTTTTCATTTTTAGTTTTGTTTCTGATTTTTCCCTTTTAATATATAAAGAGATTATTGCTTTTGTGATCTTTTCAAATAAATTATTATTTTGTAGTCTATCTGTATAAACGGTAAATTTTATAGTTCTTGTTGTCATGGTCATATATTCTTCTCCTTTCACTCATGTTCTATCAGCAACAATGTAGGAATAATTTTTTTTATAATTTTTTATATAATTTTTATATATTATTAAATAAATAAAAATATTTACTGTTATAAATTTTAAATAAATAAATAAAATTAATTATGTAAATAATATAAAAATTATATAAAAAATTATTTTTAAATTATTTTTCTTGTTTAATCTCTTATTGGACTTAAATGTGGATTATGTTAGAATGTAACTCTTTATCCATGGGATGAGACTATTTTTTTTAATACAACATAAATTATATTATTAAATAAGTTTATTTATATAATATTATGATTTTAATAAAATAAATGTTAAACCCCCTAATTTGGTTTTTGAAATTTGAACTATTGTACGAACTTTCGATTTGATTATGATTTTAATAAAATAAATGTTAAACCCCCTAATTTGGTTTTTGAAATTTGAACTATTGTACGAACTTTCGATTTGATCTTTGAATTTAAAAAATCCATAATTTAGTCTTTAAACTATTGTGCGGATCTCAATTTGATCCCCATTGTTTACCAATTTGCCCTAAATTGGTCATTCAGTATAAAAAAATAGCTAACGTATCCGTTATTCAACAGGGAAAAACAATAACTTAATGATCACGTGTCACGTTAATAATAAGATACGCCATTTGGTTTTTGTACGAAAGGATCAACTTAGGGTAAATTAGTAAATAGTATGGCTCAAATCAAGGCTTCGTACAATAGTTTAGAGATTAAATTAAGGATTTTTTTCGTTCAGGGATCGAATTAGGGTCCGTACAATAGTTCAAGGATCAAATTAGAGATTTAACCTAAAATAAAAAGATACATATAATACTATCAATTTTATTAAAGTAAAAATAATTAATTATTAAATAATATAAAATTTATTTTTAATACATTAAATAATAGTGATTTATGCTATGTCATTTAATCTAAATTTTAGTTTCAAAAATTTTTATCTTGTCTATTATTATTCTATTTGTAATAAGTAAATTTTCACTTTGGTTCAAAAGAAAATCTTTTTTTTTTATACTCTATTTATCTTAGAATTACATATGATTTTTATTTTATTTTCATATTAATAATTTAGGGACAACTTATAATTTTGCATGTATTATCATTTTAAAAAATAAAAATAATGAGATTTTTTATAGTAAGATGAATAATTAAACTTAGAAGATAACAATAATAATAAAATAAAAAAAATATTTATCTCTTTTAAAAATTATTAAGAAGACTATATTACCTTAGGAAAAATTATAAACCAAATAATATTTATTATTATGAAACAAACGTTGTAAGTTTTAGATTTCCCACTTCAGTTTCTAACTCTTATAGAAGATATGTAAAATTAGTCATATTTGATCACTAAAATATAAAAAAATAAAATAAATTAAATTAAATATCTTTAATAAATCATCACATCAAAAAGATTCATTATGATCTAATAATCATATGATTTTAAATTTTAAATACTAAGAAATTCAAATTTTTACTTTTTGCTTTTGAAAGTAGCTTTTTACAACATTCATTGAGTCAAACGTTATCTATTATGGTAAAAAAATGCCTTTTACACCGATAATTTTTCCTAATAATTGATAAATTTATGCAGGGTTGAGAGTATTGCCACCGTTCAATTTGTCAAGATCATTAATTTAATTGTAATTTTATTAATTTATATATTTTTAAAATAATTAATTATGATATTAAAAAATATTTATTTATAAATTAATTTTAATCTATCAAATAATAGATATTAAATATTTTATTAGTTATCAATTGTTTTTAATAGTCAAATTAAAATAAAACTTTTAACATTTATTAGTGCTTAACAAATTGAATGGTGGTTATAACCATTATCTTATAGCAATAAAATTAATGCCTAAGTGGGAGAAGATTAGCTGAGATTTATATATATCTTTATTTGTTGTCTTTTTTTTTTTTTTTAGTTTTATTTTAGATAAAACTTTACTTTAAACTCCTAAATTTATTATAGATTCTCGATTAAATCTCTAAATTTTTGTTAAAGTAAATAAGCTGATGAATTTCGCAATTTAGGCAATTTAACTCTCTTCTATATGATAGATTTAATGTCCGTATATGCTTAACTTGTTTGGATAATGTATTAACATGTCATTGCCTAGATAGTGGGTATTGACATTGTCCACGTAAATAAAGTATAAACGGGTATTAATTATGTTAGAAGGAAGATGGTTAAATTGCCTAAATTACCAAGTTCAGGAATTTACTTACTTCAATAAAAGTCTAAAGGTTTAATTAAGAATATGGGATAAGTTTGGGAATTTAATGTAAGATTTTACGTTAATTTTATTGTTTAAGATAATTTATACCTTAAAAAAATAATCTATAATAACATATGAGAATTACAAAATGCTAAAACGCCCCTTGCTGGAGGTGGAGAATGTAATCACTTTAACATTTCTGTTTAGTATAAAGGCTATGCCC